AATTCCCACACCAGCTGCCAGGCACAAGGCATGGTGGCTAATTAACCTTGAACCATGCACATCAAACTGGCTGACAGCTTCATCAACAGTCACCGATAGAGGATTAGCAAGTGCACTGCCACAAATAGTTCGTTTGTTCCGAACACGGTCACGGTGAACATGTGGTTCAATACGCGCGAACTTCTCGGACAGTCGCCGACACCCTCGGGGCTCAGCGTAGAGCCGTGACCACGCGACCACGCGGCCACGACAGAGCCCTTTTCACCGGATGATGAACACCGACGTCGCCTCACGTCACACAGAGCCCTCACGTGGCCATCGTGGCCGATTCCCGGGCCCGGTCGGGTCGGTAATGGGTCCAAGAGGGGCCACTGGTCGTCCAGTGCCTTGACCTCTTCGGTGGCCAAGAGCTTGAAAAAGGGCCCGAAAAGTCTCTGCGCAAGGAGTGGTCACTCCCTACCCAGGAAAAGGTGGGACATCAGTCGGGTGGGTCAGGACCCGACTGTTCGACTATCCCAGGGTATGCCAGGTAGCTCGGGTCCTATATATCAGGTCACTGAAATACCTCCTTGGCCCGGACACCCCACTCAAATCCAACGGGCTTGGAGACCCTTCGACGATCAGCAATCGGCGACCGGCGTGGGCGTGGGCATCGGAGTCGCTCCGGGATCGGCGTTCAGGCAGAGCTCCAAGGAAGCTGAGGCGGACCTCCGGGGTGAACATCCATGCCCATGCCCCGAAAAGAAACCAAGGGAGCAAGGATTTTTTTAAAGAAACATGTCCGCTGAACAGTCTGAACATGAATCTATTTGGATTATTGAAATAGGAACTTCCCTCCAACCGGATAGACGGGTCATGACTGGTCGACTTTCCCTTCCCACAAGTGGGCGGCTTAGACAACGGGTTTGTTGTCTGTGGGTTCTCCATGCTTGAATGCACACCGATTCCCTTCTCATGTGGCTCCATGTGGGGATGATTCATGGCGCCATGTGGTCTTGCCAGGTCGGTGTCCTGGTGCCAGTTCCCAGGTATGTGTTCTCCACTTCCACTGCCACCATTGATCGACCCTCTAGACGTCCCCTGTGCACCACCGCCCGTGATAGGTATCGGTACCCACCGCCCTCGGGTCTTTCTAGTAAGGCTTTGGGCGTTGTCCTGGATGACAAGACGTGATGCCAGTCCGATACACCGAAAAACCACGGTTAGATGTGGCGCCAGCGACCCGGGGTGAAGGCGGAACATGGTTTGAGAGGCAGTTTCTCGTTCTCAGTGCTTGGATACTCTGAGTGGGAGGTTGGGGATGCTTTTGCGACCGTGTTGTTGGATATGAGGAGATGATGTTTGTTTGATGCGTGGAACATGGCCAAGGGGCAACAAAGCTAAATAGGCATATGTTATATTGGGATGTGTACGTTCGAAGAACTTGCCAGAGATAATTTAGGACTTGCAGACATGGACATACTTTTGTATGAGACTCAGGCTGTTGCATCGTCTATGAGTCTATGTTGATTCGTGTGGGACGCTGAGAGACCTTTCCACTCCTATTGGTCCATATTGAAACAAAAATGAGATGCATGGCCAGCCAGCAAAGCCGCCCCTCTAGAGAGCAGGGGGACAAGCCGCCCCTTCATGAAGATGTCTCTTTCAAAAAGAAACGCAAGGCATGAGCAGGGGATCAGCCCAAACCATTCCATCCCCAAACTCCGTCTTGAGACAGCTCCAAGTTCGTGCCAGGAACCCAGTGCTCCACTCACATCCAGGAGTGGGAATGATGACGTGTGTGGCCTTTTACTCTTGGTTGACTGATGAATAGAGGGGATACCGGCACACCCCTGGGCGTGAACAACCACAGGTAGATAAACCTGGCATTGACCATTCATTCCCCTGGCTTGGAGATGCTTGGACATGAGGGCGAACATGAAATGAACACTAGGAGTCCAATGGAGTTCCCATCCCAACGGCCGTGGAGAAGGACCCTCTTTTGGAACTGGTAGGAGGTGCATGTCTTGGTCGCGTTCATTGCCTTTTGGCACGCTCAAAGAGCCCTAGGAGGGCTCGACTCTGTCGGAGGGGGCCCTCCGACCAAACGGTTTCGGCGTTCATCCTGGGTGGATCCTTTCGATTTGCACCGTCAAGGATGTACAAGATCTCTCGCTTGCAACCATACCACACTCTGTATGGGGCCTTGCTGCTTGACCCACTCCCTTCATGATACCCTTTCATCCCTTACCCCATCCAGTCGGGAACGCCTGGGAGCACCTTTTTGCTCCGAGCACCTCGTGGGCGCAGTCTCCACGCTTTCGACTCGTTGTCGTGTGGCCTTTCTTCGCTTCCACAGGGATCGAGTTCGAGGTCGGAGTTGTAGGATTGAGTTGGGTTTTTCGTGGGCACAGGAGCTTCTCCATTATTTCCTTCAAAGAAGCGGTTGAGTTGGCACAAAAGCACCGGCTGACGGTGACGAGCATCAAGTGTCCTGGCGTGCGTTGGGAGGGGGCGAAGGGGTGCGTTGGGAGGGAGCAAAGGTCCAGCCGTAGCAGGCTGCCTAGTACACTCCCTGGAACTAACAGGGTTTTGTGGATGGCATGGCCTCAAAAGGAAGACCATTTTTCGCATACCAACCAGGGCATGGCATCCACTTCCATGGGCAAAGACTGGAACACGGCGGTGCTTCCGTTTTATGGGCCCTGGACATCCCAAATCATTTAAGACTTTTTTTTCTTCGGAAAGGAACAGAAAGCTTGTGGAGCCAAGTTCCTAGTCACCAGGTATAGGATTAGTTTGCTGGATTCGCAGAACACACACACACAGGCAATCAGTGCATCCAAGTACATCCCAGCACCTTCAAAGGGGTCACCTGGCTGGTTTCGCCCCAGCCCACTATCATCCGGGATCTCCAGCCACGACACCCCTTTGAAGGTCCAGGTATAGCGGTATAGCTCTTTTATAGATGCTGGGTCCCAACGCTCCGAAAACGAGGCGGAGACGTTGGGACTCTCCCATGCACCGCGTCCACCCACGATGGATACCGAGGTCCGCGTTGGATGAGTTCCGGGCGTTGGGCTCCGGACGAGGATTCTTGACGATGGAGGAATTCGAGGGCGCGATGAGGAGACGGCCTGACGTTCGCGTCGGGTCTCGGAACTCGGAACGAAAGACCCGGGTCTCGGGGGGAGACCTGCCGGAGGTCCAACTGTGGACGAATCAAAGGGGTGCTTGACTCAGGGTTTCCACTGTAGTTGTAGACGGTTGATTCATCAACCCAGGCCTCAAGAGGCTTTTCAATCCATGTCTGGGGAGGCTTATTCATCTTAAGAGTCTACGATGGTTGCAGTGAGGATAGCACTCATCGGGAGATCCTACAAGAAGGGCGTTACTTCACGTGGTTGGCGTTCAAGCGGCACGGTCTGGCTGGTTGGCCGCCGACGCCGGTTGCTGGTTGGTGGTTGCTGCACAATGAAGTGAAAGAGTTTGGATCGTTACGTCACTTGGGTCAGCCACTGGTTGCTTATAGAGTGATCCCCAAAACGAGAGAGTATGGAACCATCGTATGTCGTAGGGAATCATGGTAGATACGGAACAATCATGAACGATTGAATCATGGCACAAGCTTTCCTCCTGTTTCTTCAGAAACTTCCAGATTGGATCCACTTGAGCACTACGAAGCCACTCCACAAAAAAGCATATGGAAATTGCTGATGGGTAACCAGATTTTTGCTGGGATTCCTGACCCTTCATGGATTTAAGGGTTCTTACCCAACAACCATTTTACTACAGATTTTAGACTACAACACAGCTCAAACATGTTTTGGACGGCTAGAGGCGGCAGGGTTTTGGAAGGTCATTGAGGTCACTGCAGATCACAGAGGACACGTACATTGGCCCCCCATTGGCCATTGACAGGGTGTGTGCCTTTTCGTTTCTGTGTGATTTCATAGACCGATGTAATCTTATGGACTTGGAACATGACTGTCTGGACCATCCTGTCGGGGTGCCCTGTCTGGAAGCCACTAGGTAGAGTGGGGTAGTCCAGCCAGGACACCCCTTGGATGGTCCTGGTATAAGACTGTTTCTCATCTCCCCGACGTCCTGGCCTCCTGGAAATACCAAAAATATGTCCGAATACCAAACAGGGAAGGGCCATCCACGTAACCATGGTTTGTTTCAGGGAGTGTCGGGAGTGTAGACCGATTTCGCACATCTTATTTGTAATGCCGGAAGCCTCCAAGAAAGGGCTACAGCAAGTGGGGCCGGCGGCCTCCTATTGCAATCTCCTATTGAATGTCATAAACCCATAACCAGTACCAGGACACCCTAAGGGGTTGATAGCCCCTTAGAGGTTAAGGGGTGTCCATTAACCACCCCTTGTGGGTCCTAGTATAAGGTTCACACACACATCGGCTTTTGGAACCTCTTCAGATGCTTGAGTGTACGACGGTTCTTTGCTGCCGCCTTTTGGCTTGAGTGTCAGCATCCACTCGTGGACCACTCATGCGAGCCGGTGAACGACCAAAGGTCGCATGACCGCGATGTCCGGCGAGCGCGTGTCGCTTTGCAGGGCAAAGACACCTGTTTCCCGGGCCTGGCAATCCAGTCCCAACCAGAAAACAGTTCTGGATGGAACGAAGCCCAGTGCTGGCGCCACTTCCTATGCATTCAGGATCTCAGTCGCTGGTGCCATTTACCAAGGGGTGTCACGGAAAGAGTCTCTTGATGTATTCAGTGATGTGTTCGGGGATCACCGGGCTTGGAGGTAGGAACACCTACAGAACTGTTTCTGCTTGGGACTGGGAACCCCCCAGAAAGGACTGAACTGCTCAGGGTCGTGTTTGGGCATCCATTTCTGCTTCGATGACCGCCCCAGTTCAGGGGATTTCTGGCTTACACCGCTTACACCGATCTGTGTGCGCATAGAACACAAAGCCAGATCTTGGACCCTCTTCGGGGGTCACAGGACTGTCCAGCTTGCCGATCTCCAGTGAACTTCACCGGATTGTCCAGCCATGGCGGTGTGGGAAGAAGAGGTGCAGCGGAAGCTGAAGGAGAACGAGCCGATGGAAGCCATGAAGGCTGACCCGTTGTTTGGGCTCCGAACATGGTCACAAAAAAATATCCATGACATTCGTCAGGTGTTTTAGCACCTCCTCGACACGGAGCTTCCAGGTGATGACCACTGGGGAGGTTGCTTGGGGGGGTGGAGTCCGACACGAAGGGTTTGGAGAATGATTCGATCGAGAGGAGCCAATTGTGGGGTGGCAACCTGAGAGACTTCATACACGATGCCATGGCTTTCAGGGCAGACCATGACCTCCGAAGACCAACAAAAAGGGGGGGTGCCATCCACGTAACGATGTACCAGCAAAAAGTAGTTCTTGGAGGTTTCCAGGTCTATTACACACATATACAGTATATAATAATAATCCATAATGTATAAATACTAATATATACCAGCATCCGACTTCACAGGTCACCAATTGAGACCTGGGGCCCTTCCAAACCCTCCATGCTGGAGACCTAGCAGGGAGGATGCTGGTAGGGCCAACGAGCACCTCAAAACCACTAGTCGGTTGGGCAAGTGGAGCCCAGAACCACCACTGGAGCTCCGCTAGGTGTTGATGATGGAGATGAGAAGCTTCAGCGACTTGGCAGGAAGTGCAACGAAGTGCAAAGGAAAGGAGCGAGTTATTGAGGTTTCTACGGGGTGCTGCATGTGAAACCTCCACCTTCACCTTGTGCAAGATCGATTTTTAAGATGCCCTTATCATTCATCTCGACTAGGTGAGTGCGAGTCCTGCCAATTTGGTTGATGGGAATATATGGGAATTGTGGTATGTCCAACAGTTCTTTGGACCGATTTTCATCTTTTTAGCCTGGCAGTGTGGTTGAGCTCTTGCATTGTCTTCATCGGGTGAAAGAACCCGCGCCTGGATGTATCTTCCGCAGTCTGTTGGAGGTTCCAACTCGATCTTGTTTTGACGTCCCTCGATGATGCTGAATCAAAGCCCCTGTTCATGTCTTCTTTTCTTTGTCAGAGAGGAATTGAGGGGAAGAGATCCACTGCGATCTTCTCCTGGCAAATGAGTCCACAAAAAGACTGGCTGAGTTACAGATCATGCATGTGGGGTTGAAATTCTCCTTTTGGTGTTGCTAGGATTTGGACCTCCCATTAGTTTGTAGTGATTGAGACCATGGCCAGGGACTTTCCACCGGTGTCCACCGGTGGGAAACCCCACCGTGTTCCACCTCGCGGGGCCAGCGCAGTGTGCCGACCGGCGGGACCGAGGTGAGAAGCCTTGTGTCCTTCAGCTTGGCATTGATACCAGGAGCGGGTGATGCCTTCTGCCGCACCGGTCCCAGATGGTCCACCACTGTGGTGCCCAACGACTGGAGGAAGTCGGGGGTGCCCATTCAAACCCCCAACTTGTGACTTCTGGCATTGCTTCGTTCGCGAACTGAAGACTGTAGATACTGTAGCTCGCGCGGCTGCAGGTGAAGCGTTCGACCTTGGAGACTGAATTCTTTCAACCAGCATCCAACTTCACAGGTCACCAAATTGAGACCTGGGGCCCTTCAGAACCCTCTATGCTGGAGACCTGGCAGGGAGGATGCTGGAAGGATTTTTGTTGTTTCTTTTTGCCACACTTTTTGACTTTCGACTTTTTGGCCTTTTGCCTTTTAAAGACTCCAAGTGTCGGATAGGGACCTGGGAAAGGGGTGGAAAAAGGACAGGTTTGCTTTTTCGCCACCACGTCACCCGAAGAAAATTCAAATCCTACATCCTGCAGCCTAGGTGTCCACATGTTTTCCCTGGAAGCCTTCCCTGGAAATGATAAACACCCTCCGGGTTCATTGAGAACATCGAAGCCCGAAAACGCGCAGAAAATGGCTTCATCTCAGCGCGGTGAGACAGGCGAGCCTCACAGCGGCAAACAGCAACAGCAACTGATCTTCATCCAACATGCAGCTACTACGAACAAAACCCTCAAATGTATGGTATGGGCTATGGTGAGGATTACAAGCATCCATTATCAGGGATGCATTGAGAATTCAATCCAATGAGTTAATTCATCATTCACAGGTTACCCACTAAACACTCTGAGAGACGCTTCATGCTGTGTTTCACTCCCGCCCTTCTGTGAGCCATTTTGTTTCCTTTGTACACATATATCCACTAATCTATACTATACCAACTCGATCAAAGCCACAGAGTTGCATGCTGTGTATATCCCAGCTACTGTGCTTTGAGGCTGCTTGGCTGTGTCTCTCAACAGGGTTGATGTCCCGGTCTCTCTCCGGTCTCTTCGACGGCTGAAGAGCTGATCCCATAAGTGGCTCACGGCCAAAAGGGACCGTCCCTCCAACCATGGAAGCCACATGAAATACGGACCCTCGAACGAGGTCACCGTGACTTCCAAAAAACGGATCCCTGGCGCTCCACTTTCATGGCATTTCTGGTTTCACGGAGTGTCACCCTTTTGGGACTTTCGATCTTTTGCTCTTCGATCGTTGAATCGTTCGCCCACCAACTGCTGGCGCCATTCGCTTCTCGAATCCCGAGTCGCCCTCGCCCTCCTGCGAGTCGCCAGGAGCTTCTACAAAGATCCTGCAGGCGTTGCTCTGGGTGGGGAAAGGAAGGGTGGCGCTGCTTCAATGGGCCAAAGCGAAAGAATGGGCTTCTTCAGCCGGGAGGAAACAAGAACACCGTCTCCGCACATGGACCCATGCTCATTGACCCATGGACGTATTCTTGATTGAAAACGGTGGGACGGTAGAGTTCTTCAGCAAAGCTCTTCTGTGGCCACATGGGCAGCAATTCATTTTGGCCTGGCCGCTAAAAATGGGCTCCATGAGTGTTCAACACTTGACGGCTCGGACGGGTTTGGCTCACAACGAATCAATGTAGCTTGATTCAGAAAAACAGCATTTGGGTTGAAGAACCTCTGAAGAGGCATGGGATCTTTATTAGTCAAGAGTATGCATGAATGTCGACTTGGAACACATGGAGACTGGGTTCAAACACCAACCACTTCAGGGGATCTTTCGGCCACCGGTGGCTGAGACACATGGATTCTTGTACGATTCATGGATGGATTTGTAAACCAGAATCAGTGTGTTGAGTTATTTGGATTTGTTTCTCAACACACATGTATTGAACAATTTATTCTTGTTGCCTTTAGTACCTTTATGATGTATTCAACAGCTAGCTAGCTTCTTTTTCACCGTGTCCGACATCCACGTCCTCCACGCTTCGGTCTGGGAGGCACATGAAAAGGTCAAACCACACGCTCGTTCGTCACATGGAGGGCCTTTTTGTTCTGGTTCGTCACATCCAGGGCGAGCGGATGTGATGTGGTGTTGGGGTACCCAACGAGCCTCCGGGACCTCCTCCGAACCGGCACCCGGGAAAGTGCTCGTGACCGGGTGGAAATATGACACACCGACCCTATCGCAGTTTAAGCCCATCTGACCCTGTCGCAGTTTAAGCCCCTCCGCTCCACGGATGGGCTTCTGTGAGTTCAGGAAGTTCCGCTCTCATGGAAGAAGGACTTCTCGGAGAACCCCACTAACATGTTGAGGGAGGTATACTCCGACTCATTCACATGGAACATGGCTGGGAAGACCATTCTCCTGTACCAAACCGGGTGGTTTTGTATGGTTTTCCCCTTGCGTTAGTGAGTCAAAGGGTAACAAGATCCCACGACCTTGTTCACGCCTTCAGCCGCCCCAACTTCGACAGTTAGATCACTCCCATGGATGAGTAAGTATATGGTATACCCTGGAAGTCAAAGAGCATTTTTAAAATGGTTGATCTGGTTTTGTAGTGTAAAATCCTTAGTAAAACAATGGTGGTTCGACTTCTAGGGATATGGAGGCTTGTCACTCCCTGGTAAAATCAGTGATTTGACGTGGTGAGCCACCAACTTCTTTGCGGGAACGAACATGCAAGAGATCCTGCCAGCAAATTCCAAATGTCAAGCTCGAGTCAGAGCATTTTCGTCGACTGTGTACCGTATACCTGCAGGGTATCACCTTCCACCTTTTCTAGTCACCCGTCCAACCTGCCCATCCGAGCCGCCAGCTGAAGCCGCCGTGTCTCTGTCACCGTCCATCTTCTTCGCACCGCCCAGCAGTGACTTCGCCAGCGATGGGCAAACTGCACCACGTCCACAGCCTTTGGGTCACGTCCACAGCCTTCGGGTCACGTCCACAGCCTTCGGGTCACGTCCGTTTGGCCTTAGTTGTCCGAAGAGGGCCTCGCGCGAGGCTTCGGCCTTGCGATGAAGGAGGCGGGTGCAAGCATGGAGGACATCCGAAGGCGGGGGCCGGCAGGATCGGAAGGGACGAGCGAAGAACAGGCGGACATGTGTTCTCATCCGGAAAGGCGTCTCTACTGGCAGCCAGTTGGAAGAAAAGTATTGGCGGTTTTTAGACCTCTTTCTCTGCGTTTGGCGCAAAGAGACTGGTCAGATGGACATGTTCTTCACCCGGTCAGATCGCCGCGTCGGTCGCTCCATTTCGCCACGACGTGGACGAAATGGAGCGAACCATCCTTTCATGCGAACGGGTGGGCAGAAGGGGGCCAATGCCAAGTCATTTCGAAAGTCGAAGCCGACTTAGATGCATGAAGATGCAAGCTGAAAAACGATGTTCGGAGCATGGGAGGCCCTGGTGGTATCCCATCATGCTTAGATTACATGTGGATCATGTACAGATCTTGAGGCCCTTAGGTCAGTGGCTGAGTGTATGGCACATGGCCAGATGGCCGGTGCTTTAGAGCCCCTTCGCGGCGTCGCAGGTTTTAAGTGCCATTGACGGGGTTCACCACTGAAGCACGAAGCAATGCGCCTCCCACCATGAACATGCATGTCGACAGCGAGCTTCTTCTTAGGTAACTGATCAGATTTGGCATTCCAACAGAGGTTGAAGAACCTGATAGACTATTCCATGGATACCCCAGGCTGGTCCTATAAGGTCACTTAACCTCTCTTGGTTCACCCAAGAGGTGACTTCATCCATGGTCCGTCACTCTATTTTTGGGGGCTACCTTTCTTGGAACAAGCGCCCAGCTGTGCACGGCCGTACCGTACTGATCGCGCCAGTTTCAGCTGCATCCTGCTGCACCGGGGCCTGGTCTTTCTGGCGCTTCAGCAGCCCGCGCGTGGGCAGCGGGACCTGAGGGCGGCGCAAGATATGGGTGCTTCAGGCGGGGTGAGCTGGGCAAGTGGCGCTTCGGATGCCCCAAAGCGCGCACAACTATATACAGTATTCACAATGCAGCTGAAGAAGAAGCAGAAGAAGAAGAAGAAGCAGAAGCAGGAGGAGTAGAAGAAGAAGAAGCAGGAGGAGTAGAAGAAGAAGGAGAAGAAGAAGAACAAGAAAACTAAACAAAAACCATGGGCTCTTTGTAGAGCACACCTGGTCTTCCACCAGTCGATTTGGGCGTGTTCTCTGTTTTCGTCCACATGCTTTAAACTTCCTGATGAACCTGGGTGACAAAAACGCAACGAGAAATTCCGATCCCAGGTCCCCCTCATTCAATCATTCAAAACAACGAGAAAAAGGCATGTGGGACCAGATCGGGTTGCTCATCCTTTATCCACCATCTTCTGCATCCGCAAGGTCGAAAACCTCTCCCTCCCTCTCTCTCCATGCGTAACACACAGGCGAAGCGCTGCAGCAGGGCCTCAAGGAAGCGCGTCAAGCTTTGGAGCGTTTGGAGGAACAGGAACGTCAGGAGCAGCGCCAGCGCCAGGCTTCGAGCGTGAGAATGCTCGCGCTCGGCGCGTCGCGTCCTGGTCGTGGGATAGGAGCGGAACAACGCGAAGTCAAACCCAGAGGTTCGGGGGGTCTGGAGTCTTCGTCAACTTGGCGGCAGGCTTCTGGTCCTTCTCATTCTGCTGAATCTGCTGAATTGAGGGCGGGTGAGATTTTTACAGTCTATATACATGGTTGTTTTATTCTTTTACTATTTACTATCTACTATCTATATTTTCCTTTAAAGAACTTGTGATCGATCTACTTCTCCTTCTATGAAGGTCGGTCGATCGGTCGGTCCTCGGCAAGACGGACCCCATTGGGCCATGTGTGCGTGCCGCACATGGCGAGCGGTTCCGGCTTCATTTCTCTCCACGGGCGAGCGCAGTCAACTCGATGCGAAGGCTTCAGGTGTGGTTCTCGGCGCTCCAGTTATTAGGCTAATTGAATAGGGAGACCAGTCTGGCCCAGCTTCGTAGACTGGTCTAGAAATCCCTTCACCGAACCCAGAGGGTCGGAACGCCTGGGAGACGTCTCCCTATTCGAGCTATACACCCATATGCTCCAGCCATCAAGAATCTCGGATTCAACAAAACTCCATGAATTCCCACCAGTTGACTCAAGTGCCTGAACATTCTTTGCCAGTTGACTCAAGTTGATTTGGAGAACCCAGACGCTCCAAACAGCCTTTGGTCCCTCAAAACCATAGGGATTTGAGATCCCAGACCCCTCCATATGAGGGTCCGACCCCTCCATATGAGGGTCCAGGAGCGTCTGGGAAAGACGAAAAAGACACCATAAATGTGGCCGACTCACCTGAAGATTGTGGCCAAGATACCTGAAGTACCTAGACGATCAAAGAACCAAATGTGTGCTTCAGATCCACGCAATTCAGGTCACTCAAATAGGCCTGTCACTTCGGCCACTTCTAGTTCTACTGCTCCCAGTTCGAGCTTCGACCAGTCCGGCAGTCGGCGGTCCTGCTCGTTTCGCATCCCCTGCCTGCTCTGAGCACCCCGTCCCTCGTCCTCGTGCATCGCATCCCGGTTCAGGTGCCCATCACCGTGCTGACGGGCTTCCTCGGAGCAGGCGGGGACAACCCCCAGGGTCTGGTGTTTGGGCGGTTTGAGACGTGGAGAAGACGTCTCAGGGACCGGAGCTGTTTTTGTTGGTGCACACCGGAGCCGTGCCAGGATGAAGGTTTTTTTCAACGGTGGATGAATGAAACTTCCTTCATGTGGAGGGTAAAGGCTCCTAAGAATTTTTCATGTGAAGTGTTTGATTCATCAATCAACAGTCTACATTAGATGTTTCAGATTTGATCCCTGGTTTTCTGTCAGTGCAACGTGTGTTTTGGAGTGTTTGACGTGTGCCCCACCACTCATCACGATTGAGGTTTCATGTGGATGTTCAGCCTCCTCATCCAGGACCCCAAAAAAACAGTCGATTTGAACCAGCAACTCCAGGAGCACCCAACTCCAGCTTCGCACCGCCTGCCTAAACCAACCCATGGCGCCTCATGACTTGGACCTAGACGGACCATCGATTTTCCGCGCGGCGCCCGGAGCGATGCCCGATCGCCCGTGGTGCCACGAGACGCCCGGGACGCCTGGGACGCCCGAAAGGACAGAAATGATAAGAAGACGATGCGAAAGCCTGCGAGGTTCCATCAATGGCTTGTGAAATTGGTGGTTTTGCGGAGGGTGCAAGAACATGCCAGATCGATGTCCCGTCCCACAATTGCTGATGCTACTGTCCTCTTTCTCTACCGCTGTTGCATGTGCTGCGCTGTTTTTTTTCAGGCAAGACTACACTGCTGAACTACATCTTGAAGGCCTTGTCTGGGTCTAGCCGGTCAGTCTAGCTGTGTTTGGCTCTGGCCCAGACAAGGAGCAGAAAACCCTAGACCCTACACTTTCAACCGCATTTTTCCCCAACAGTGTGGGCACACTGAGGGGTTCTTACGGTAAGGGAAAGGAAGCTGATGCTTAGATCGCTGAAGCGCGGGCGTGAACGGCTAATTCGTTGCTATTATTTACAGTACATTCATGCCTCTCGACATCGTCCATGTGCACTTCGACTGCGCAGGCTCGCAAAATCTGCCTGCCCGCGGCGGGTGCTTCAGGCGACTGCGCTCTCGTTGTGGTGCCGTGCGCATTTTCGCACATGGTGGTCACTTTTCGTGGCAGGCGCAAGGGAAACCTCGTGTTTGGGTGCTCCAAAGTCGACTTTTCGTGACAGGTGCAAGGGATCGGAGCTGTTTTACTTCGAAATGCAGTTTTCGTGGCAGGTGCAGCACTTTGGACATGGTGGTGATCGTCAAGGAGCTCAGATTTCGTGCCAGGTGCAGTGAATCGTGACTTTTGGACATGTGGCTCGTTTGCAGATTTCGTGGCAGGTACAGCACTCTGTGACCCTCGATGTGCAGATTTCGTGGCAGGTGCAGATTTCGTGGCAGGTGCAGCACTTTGTTAACCTCGAAGTGTAGATTTCGTGACAGGTACAGCACTTTGTGAACCTCGAAGTGCAGATTTCGTGGCAGGTGCAGCACTTTGTGAACCTCGATGTGCAGATTTCGTGGCAAGCGCAGCACTTTGTGAACCTCGAATTCAGATTTCATGGCAGGCACAGCACTTGGTGAACCTTGGAGTGCAGATTTCGTAGCAGGTGCAGCACTTGGTGAGCCTTGAAGTGCAGATTTCGTGACAGGCACAGCATTTGGTGAACCTCGAAGTGCAGATTTCGTGGCAGGCACAGCACTTGGTGAACCTCGAAGTGCAGATTTCGTGGCAGG